GTGAAAATCTCTGCCCCATCAAGGCAAAAAAAACCCCAAAACAACCCAAAAAAGGAGGGGGCTTGGGAGAGGCAGGTGGGATCGGGACCCTCCAGCACCACCTCCTCGGTTGCAGGAGCCTCGTGCCGCCGCCAGCGCTGTGGTCCATGTGTGGTTGCTCAGCTCTGCAGCAGCAGCTCCCAGCACTTCTGACGTGGCCTCTTTGGGGTTTAATTAGCTCAAAAAGCAGGTGAGGTGGTCTGGAGGAATGGTTCCCTCTCTGCAGCATCACGGCAGGACCACAGGCAGCCACATCCCTGCTTCCTGCAGTGCTGAGAGCACTGAGCCCACCATCACCAGGCCTCCCTTCTTGTGACACCTTCTGTGTGTTTTCACATGAAGCCACAGTCCTGGTGGTTTTGCTCTTTTGGGGAAAAGCCAAGAAAAAGCCTTGCCAGCACCTAGAGGAGCTGCAGGATGCTGGAGAGTTCCAGGTGTTTGCTGGAGATGGAGGAAAGTACATGTGAAATCCCACCAAAGACCAGTGTGAAATCACAAGCTACAGCATCTAAAAACATCACCCTGATCCCCTGACCCATGTCATTGTGCAGATTTTAATGACAGGAAACAGATAAAACTGGGGTAGGAATCCCCTTTTCCCAGGTGAGCACAAACCAACACGTGACAATCTCTGATGCTGCTGCAATTAACACAATGCCAGAACCCATGCAGTAATTAACTTCCTCCCTTCCAAGATTTAATAACATGCAGTAAAATAAGACCTGAGGTGATGAAACAAGCAGGGGGGGAACAAAACACACAACAAATCAGACACTTGTGACTCAATAAGGAATCAATTAGACCCTGGAATAATAATAATAATAGTGAGCAAGATTAGGACAGGCTGGAGAGCTGGGCTAAGAGGAACCTCACGAGGTTCACCCAGAGCAAATATACCTGGGAAGGAACAACAAAATGCACCAGTCCAGGTTAGGAGGTGACCTGGTAGAGAGCAGCTCCATGGAGAAGGACCTTGGAGTCCTGGGAGGCAGCAAGTTATCCATGTGAACAACAACCTGCCCTTGTGGCCAAGAAGTCCAGTGGTATCCTGGAGTACATGAAGAAGTGTGTCCAGAAGATGGAGAGAGGTTTTCCTCCCTCTCTACTCAGCCCTGGTGAGACCTCACTTGGAGGATTGAGTTCTGGGCTCCCCAGTTCCAGAGGGACAGGGATTGACTAGAGAGAGTGCAACAGAGGCTACAAGGATGATGAAGGGACTGGAACCTCTGTCTGATAAAGGCTGAGAGACCTGGGGCTGCTCAGTCTGGAGAGGAGAAGACTGAGGGGGGATCTAATGAATGTCTCTCAATACATGAGGGCAGCAAGAAGGCAGGACAAGCTCTTGTCACTTGTGCCCTGGGACAGGATGAGGGGCAATGGATTCAAACTGGAGCCCAGGAAGTTCCACCTCAACATGAGGAAGAACTTCTTTGGTGTGAGGGTGACAGAGCCCTGGGACAGGCTGCTTTGGAGGTCTCTTCCAGCCCCGACCATTCTGTGATTCTGTGAACACTTTGCTCATCTGCCCTTGTGCTTCAAGTGTAGGAGGTTGAGCTGGGAAAAGGCGCTTGAATTGTCCTGGATGGACTCTGAGGCCAAGTTTCTGCCAAGCAGAGGCTCAACCGTGCTGGGCTTGGGATAAGACTCTGGCACAGAGACATTCAGTGTCCCTGCATGTTCCTATCTAACCTTGACAGCTCAGCAACTTGAAGCCATGGGGGAACACACGAGGACTCTGAAACACACATCTTTTGAAGGCACCTGAAGGCTGGATGGCACTTTGAGGATGCTCTTCTCAGAGAAGAGAGCTCCAGGTTGCCCTGTGTGCCAGACTAAGGGGTTTGAACCACCCAGGACCAGATACTAGCAGACTCAGGTTACAACAGACCCTTCTGTATGGGGTTTTGACTGGTCTTCCCAGGCCATAGAGATATGCATTACTAAATATGTGCATTTTAACAACAGGGGGAAAGCCAGCCCTGAAATCATTACCTGCCACTGGTAGACATGGTGAGTTATCCCTGAGCCAGCCAGGCAGGATGTATTTTATAGCATTATCACATCTGCCCCAAGCATTTTTGCTTTTTGCCCCAAGCAAAATTGGCTCCACCTGACATTATCTGCCTCTCACTACAGCTTGGCATAAGTCAAAGGAATAAATTACTCAATTACTAGAAAATCCAGTCAGACTGAATGCAGAATTAGCCTCATTAAAACACAGACTGAGCACTGGCAGCATCAGCATTTTTGTTTCTTGGTCTCTTTCCTCGCTCTGCCCCTCATGGTCACTCGTGTCACTTGGTGAGTCCCTGGAAGTTGGGCTCTGCACAGGCAGGCAGCACTGCCTGCCGGCTCAGCAGCTTCTCCAGGACATTTATTTCAGCATCTCGTCTCGCAACGTCCTCAAACGGAGTCCAGGACATGTCGTGCTGGAGCTTGTAGGCACCCAGAAATTCATGGGGACTGCTCCCCCATTCCTAGAAGAGAAAGGAGAGACTCAGTGCTCAGTTCCCCTCGGAGCAGGGCCACGCTGTCCCTCAGCCCCAGCTCTGCCCTGCTGGGCAGCCCTACCACCTTTGCAGCATTCTGAGCTATGTGACCCTTCTGTTTTCTAAACAAAAAACAAGCTGCCCTGAGGCTAAGACCAGGCCAAGATGCAGGGGAGGTCTGGGGATGTAAGATCTCCCTGACCTGCTCAGTGCTTTGCTCTGAAGCCTGCATCCCACCCTACACATAAGAAAACAGGTGGCCTGAAAGGTGGACACCTCCAGTAACCCCCCTGCCACGTTGCAGACTCATTCCTCTCTGGCCTGAAGCACTCGAGAAGACCACACTGCCAGACAGCCACGTCAGACAGGGAATGCCTGGGGCATGTTTGCTTCCAGAGAAAGAACTGCAGGATTGAGGTCCATGCACCAAAGGTCGTCCTGCCCACCATCCACCAAGAGCTAAGAGAACATCACAACATGGCTCTTACGCCAGCAGAGTAACTCAGACCAAGGACAAATGCCAACTGATCAGGAGCCAACAAATGCCTCCATCACGTTGGTGCTTTTGCCTCAGGTCCAGAAGTGCCCAAGCACCACAAACATGGGGTTTTCTGCCTTCTCTGCTTCCTCAGGGGCTGTTGCACCCACCTTGGGAGACAGGATGGAGAAGTATCGCTGGCCACTCTCTCGCCTGTACATGTAGTAAATGTTCCCTGGCTTCTTCACAAGGTTGCAGGCCACGTGGTGCAGATCAGCATCCCTGTTAGCTTCATCCAAGACCTGAAAATCAAATCTTACATTTTCACACTTGAAATAAAACGAGAGCATGCCAGGGTCCAAGATACATCACCTGACAAACTCAGCGAGGCATCACCCTGCTCGGTGCACATTTGGCTTCATGTGGCACATCCTGACTACCCCAGGAAGCAGATGTTTTCCAAAGAGATGGCTTTCTCCAAGTTTCCCCTGTCAACTGCCCCTCAGAGCTCCTGCTCCCCTCCACAGAGGTGGAGATACCAACAAGCATCCAGGACCTCTTCTCTGTAGCCCCAGGTTCACCTCTGTGCCTGACCCCACCACATGCTGGACTTGTTTCTTGTTTCCATACACAGCTACCAGACCCTGGGGGCTTCCCTGCTATCATCCCTGAACAGGACAGCAAACAAAGAGGAATTCATCTCCCCAGCTCCACCAGCTGATTGTTCCACAGCTCCAGCTCCACCAGTTCACAACCAGATGACGTAGTGGCCTTGATGGCAGCAGGCCAGTGACTGGCAGATCCTTTCCCACTCAGGCTCTGAGATTTCACCCCCAAGGGTGAAGTCTGAATTGCACAGCTGAGCCCCACTGGGCTTCATGCCAGAGCATCCAGGAAATGAGCTGGGACAACCTGGAAATCCAAACCCATTGTCAGGTAACAGCTCCTCTTCTCCCAGGGGCTCAGATCCAGCCAAAGCCATGTCACCAAAGCACTGCACTGAGTCCTTGCAGGAGCACAGCACATACACTACGGGGGCAGGAGTCACCTCCCCCAGAACCAGTCACCTCAGACAGGACCAGACAGAGGTCCTTCCTGACACCCGAGATGCTCTTGCTCCTCCACCTTAACAGAGCTCCTCCTTCATGCACAGAGCCCTCAGGGACAGCACCAAAACCAACCCTCCCCCATCCCCAGCTGATACCAGACAACAAACCCTCATTCTTTTCCCACTGAACCTTCTCTCCTTGGCTCCTGGCCACATCCAGAGATCTTCCCAGCCATCTGGGCAGCCACCAATGTCTCCCCTGTGCAAGCAGAAGGGAACCAGCCGACAGGGGCAGCCTCACCTTCCGAGCCTGCTCCTGCAGGTACCGGATCTGCTCAGCAATCACAGTCAGTTTATTGCAGGCGTTGGCTCGGATGAAGTCGTCGGCCTGGGAGGGAGAGCGAGGTCTGGTCAGGCTGGGAAGAGCCCTGCAGGCCTGGGGCTGTGCAGGGGCAGCAGCCTCACCCCAGCCTTTAGCTGCACCCCGTGGGCAGTGGGGTCACAGCCACGGAGTAGGGAGCGGGCACTGGGAGTGCCCAGGTGGCAGCAGGACGTACTGGGAGGCACTGGGAGGGACCAAAAGGTAGTGGGATGTGCTGGGAGGAGGAAGTAGGACTTAAAGGAAGCATCTGGGGGTTTTACTGGACTAGGATATAGTACTTGAAGTCAGTATGATGTTCTAGGAGGCACTGGGATGAACTGGGAGGAACTGACGGGGGAGTGGGAGGTGCTGGGATGGATTTGGGAGGGGGGGCGGTGGAACAGAGTGATGGGCTGAAGGCAGCAGGGCACGCTGGGGCGGACTGGGAGCTTAGTGAGATGTTCTGGGAGTTGCTGGGGGGCAGCAGGACTGGGAGGAACTGACGGGGGAGTGGGAGGTGCTGGGATGGATTTGGGAGGGGGGGCGGTGGAACAGAGTGATGGGCTGAAGGCAGCAGGGCACGCTGGGGCGGACTGGGAGCTTAGTGAGATGTTCTGGGAGTCACTGGGGGGCAGCAGGACACAGCGCGAGGCACCGAGGCGCGATGAGCCGTTACCCGAGGACACGCCGGGG